TGAGCATACATGGCCTCAAATTGATCCCTAGAGGGAAACTGGTCCCGAGACTTGGACGGTCGTGGTCGATCCGCCAGGCTAATGCGAGGTCGAAGGTAGTCGTCCAAGGCTTTGAATGTTGCGATGGCATGAATGGAAACCATGATGTTCCTGTATGTCTTTGGAATGCCTGACTCGTCATCGGCGACAAGCTTGAGCCTGAGCTGCTTTGCGAGCATTGAAGTCGCGCTTCCTCGACTATCGTACATGTTCTGGTGAACGGTGATCACGTCGAAGTGTTCAGACCTACTGAGCAAATCTTGGAGCTTGTGGACCAACACACTAAAAGGCGTAGCTGGAGATGCAGTGCTCGCGGTCTTGATCTTGCTCTGGCTACTACCTCCCATAAAGGCTTCCAAGAAGATAGGCCTGGGATCAACATTCTTGTTCGTTGTAGGGGTCGAAAACAGCTCCAACAACACTTCCACAATTTTTGAGGTCTTGAGTTCGTAGCTTGTAATGCTCTCCAAAGCATCACCTTCGAAATAAGAAGCCAGCCGAGTGAACAGGGTCATGCAGTCGCTTGCGTTACCATCAGCAACGCAGTCCTTGATATTTTCAGCGAGCGATTTTAGGTCATCTAGGACCGCCGAAGCTTTGTCGCGTATAGGCTTATCGGAGTCCTTCTCGTGAGCCTCAATGAACTTCTTGGCACGCAGCGTGATGATGTCTTCGACGTTGGGCATTGGTGGTGGTTCCCGCTCGTCAGAAGATGATGAAGAGTCCGAGTCGTCATCCTCGTCCCGGTTGTGGCTGCTCTCGTTTTGTTCGTCATCCGGGTCCACGTCCTCTCCATCGTCAGATTGCATTTCCACATCCACGCCTTCGCTCGAATGCGGCTCGACCTCCTGCTCACCAGAGGAGACAGTGCTAGCGCCTGATTCAGCTGCCGTTTCAACCTCAACTGCTGGTTTTGAGTCCTTAGGCTTGGTTTCCAGTGCCTTGCATGGGCGATTTGCCAGTTGTGAGATCTCGGAGATGACGCCCTCACGATAGAACTGGTATCGGTAAATGGGCTCCAGTCGCTTAAGTAGCAGTTCAGCAGCCTGCAATGCATAGGTCACTAAAGATGGATGATCTTGCTGGGTAAAGATTGATGCCAAGTGCGAAGCGTACGGAACTGGCCGTAGGGCTTCCTCTAGAATATCGGTGTCCAGATTTGACAGCATTTTGAGATGTGCGGTGAGCACCTTCTGCCGAACACTGAGGTTGACGGTGCTCGAGTAAGCATCTGTCAAAGTCGGCAGAAGAATCACAGCGAAGCGCTTAACCTCTGCTTTGCAATCTTCCAGCAGCTCAACGCGCTTCTCGTTCGCAGTCTTCTTGTTCGTAGATGAGAGCGGAAGAAGATCGTCGCCTGGGTAACCCGCATCGAAGAGATCGTCAAGGTAAGTCAGGCCATCGGTTGAGACATCAGGGAGCAGTTCACAAATGACATTCAACGTCTCGAATACCTGGTCCTTGGGCCGATGAATCAGAGCTTGCATGATGACCACCGAGTCGATTTTCGCTGCGACGTCTTCAGTGCCGCTAGGAGGTGAAACACCAGTGAGGATCTGATATAGAGTATCGACCACGTTCGTCTTTAAAAGCTCAGCTGACAGACGTGGGCTCGCCTTTGCCGTATAAGCGAGAACCTGAAGGAACATGGTGTGAATACTGGGCCCAATGAGGTTTGTACTACCTGGGAGTAGAAGTCGCAGGATCGCCTTAAGAAGTCCTGGGCTAACCAGCTCCTCCAGCTTGCTCTCCTGCTGTCTGAAGCTCTGAACGATCCTTGATACACAGATGCAGCCTTGCTCTACGACTTTCTGATCGTTGTTGTTCAGGATGTTTTCGAGGATGGGCATGACATCGCGCACGACTGGGAAGGAATCCTCTGGGATGTTTCGACAGCAGTTGGCGGCTGTTGTGACAGCTGTTCGCTGGGTGCTTGTGGCGAAGAAATCGAGGAACGTCAGGCACGCTGTGAGACCGCCTTCCCGTACAATGACTCCCGGAAATTCGACGGAGATCTTCTCCAATGTGCTCAGACATTGCTCTGCCAGGTCAATAAAGTTAATCTCGAGCAACTTTGAGCAGAGAACAGGCACGGCGCCACCGTAAACGACGTTGGCGGTCGCTTGAGGCAGAGCTTCCATCAAATTGGCCAAGCATCGGCAGGCGAGCAACATGAGCTCTGGATTCTCTTCCATTGTGAACTCGTTCGGCTGCATGAGCCTAACCAACTCCTTGACATAGGCATCGGGGGAGAAATGGCCAGCCAGGTTGTCTTCGGTAGAGATGAGGAGTACTTCGGACAGCTCTTGCAACGCAATTAGCTGTATGGACATGTCTGGCGACCGTAGTTGATCCAAGATGCCCCGCAGGCGCTGTGTTGTGCCCGCCATCATGCCAGTAAGCTGCCTGAGCGCAGAGAGGCTGTGTGAATTGCGTCCAAGGAAGCCACTGGTGAAGGGATCATCGTCATCGTCGTCGTCATCGTCATCGTATCGCTCTCCGTGTTCGTCGCCGTTCTCGTCGTCGCTAGTATGGTCCTCGCCAGACTGGCGCGTCTCCTCCTCAGCGTTGTTTGCGGGTGCATCGTCCATGCTTGTATCGTCTTCGGCCTTGTTCGACTTTCGTGAGCTTCGGCGAGATGTGGAAGGAGTATCGGCGTCTTGCGCGGCGCTAGAGGGTTTGCTCTTGCGGCCACTCTTGGATCGTTTCGAGGGTTGTGGCGTCGACTTCTCGTCGATAGGATCTGATGGTGGGCTGTCTTTAGTCAGCGCATACTCTGGCGTTGGAGCGGCTGGCACAGACCCAGATGAAGACATGACTGCTTTGCCTTTAGCTTTCTTGGCCTTGGTTGCAGGTGGAGCGGGCGGGTCTTGAGCGTCGACTTTGGTTCGCTTGTTGCGAGCACCGCGTTTCGGTTGTGGTTCTGCGTTGTCCAGTTGGTCTGGGCTGGGATCTCGCGCTGAAGTCTTCCTCTTGCGTGAAGAAGCTGGTGCGGGCGGCGGGAGGGCTGCGGGTGGGGGAGGTGCGGGCGGTGAATTGTCGTTGGTGTTGGCGGGTTGGCGCCTTTGCGAGCGAGTGACTCTGGACGACATGAGATTGTGAATACAGGCTTGTGAAATCGAGATGCGCGCAGACTGTGGCCCCGGTGGGTGCAGCACTTCTGTTTCGGCAAAGCAACGTGAGACTTGGTTGAGAACCACAGCAGTTGATGGTGTTGAACCGTGGGGTGGAAGAAAACTGCAGCGGCCAAGGGTCGAGTAGGAAGGTATTTACCTTTCACGAGGTCCTCTGGATGCCATCAAGGACGCGCCATTAGGCGTGCTCAAGCGAGTGCGGTAGGTGCAAACACAGGGAAGGCGTTGGTGGCGGTCAGGGCGGTCGGTGGAATCAAACAGAGCAAACGAGTGTATTGCTCTGGTAGTGTGATGGGTAATAGAAAGAGATGGTAATACTGTAGTGACGCTGGCGAATGCTAGACGTCGATACCCACCTGCATGCCAGAGGGAGCTAATTACGTGACCTGACTAGCGCCTTTGCTGTTATCGATAGAGGGTCGCAGTCACCGTATCAAGTATGACCTGCGCCTGCCTGCCAGTACTCACCATGAGTACCTACTATACGCGTGTTTTGTTGCACTGTCGCAGTGCCAGCGGTGAATGGCTGATGGACGGTTGAATTCCTGAACACGCGTGCATGGCCTCTCACCAGCCTGTCTGGCAATTACGGTCTTCCATTGTGAATTCTGGTTATCCAACCCGACTGGGTTGGGACGAAAGCATTGAGGCTGAATCATCTTCCAAGGTTCGAGTGCGTGTGGAGGAAGCAGTGCGCACGTCACTGTTGGATACGTTGTTATCAGGACCCCCCAGTGAGTGGTGTATGGCCGCACACATTGGGCTGAGAAGTTTCGTCACGACTTCTAGGCTATGGAGTCTTCCCAAATTGTTCGATTCATCACGCCAACATTCAGCATGCTTCATAGCATAGGTACATGGTAAACTCGATTCACTTTTGGGTCATGTTAGCCTACAGCGACTCTGTCCTCCGACTTCGCTTCAGGGTTCCCTAGTGAGTAATCAGCCCATTTCCAGTCATCTCTAGCGCCTACAGTTGCAAGTCAGGGTCGGCGTAACTCAGTTCCAAGACGAGCAATCGCGTCCGCTTTAGGGCCAAGCATTCTGATTGTTCAGCATACGGATCCTAGGCCCAAGAAGACTAATTCGAAGACACAACCGGGTACCTGTGGGGTCGGGGAAATGCCGACACGCCCACGTGAGGTCTCCCACTTCTCCTCGAGCAGTCTGCAGACATGGCTTGCCATTTGGCGAATGTTCGGATGCAAAAGGCGTTTCATATGCGGGCGCCACACAAAGTTTGCGGCTCAGGTTGGCTGGAGCGCCGGAGTTATGGGACGGCGAGAAGTGCGGTTGCAGGCAAAAAGAGGAACCCTGGGCAGCCCCGCCGCCCGCGTTCCAGCGTCTCGACGGCCGCCTAGAAGCAAACGTAAAATGGTACAAGATGCCCCCTCCTCCACGGCCGGATTGCGCTGTGCACCTATTTCCCTCTATCCGATCCAGGCATATCCCACCTTTGCAGTCTCATCTAGCCCGTCTTGTTGCGCCCACTGCCTGAAAACATAGTTCCATCGGGTGTCGCCTCGCTGCCCCCGCGTCATAACAAGGCTCCTATCGACTCACTTCTTACTACTGCCTAGTCTCTCAGTAGTCTCCCGGTGACCCCGTTTATCGCGGTATTCGTAAGCCTTTCACTCATAAATGCTCCCCTCCCGCCGGCAATTGACCTTGCCTTTTAGAAATATAACGCACATCCTACCTGTCGCCGCGACCCCACCCCGCCGTTACCTCCGCAGTTCACCACTACATAGCCGGCCACTCACCCCTCCGAGGTCACCCCTCGCTATCCGCCCGCGCATCGCAACAAGTAAAATCGCTGTCGCCGCCATGTCCTCGACAGATAACCGCGATATCCTGCTCGACGCCGGAATACCCAACGTCGAAGCCATGTCGCTCGACAACTACACATTCCCCAAGGAGCGATTGAAGAAGACTCTCTCAAATCCCAACAAGCAACCCCTCGTACTCGTATCATGCGGTTCCTTTTCACCACCAACCAACCTACACCTGCGCATGTTTGAAGAGGCAGCCGACTACTGCGAGTTTGAAACCGAATATGAGGTCGTAGGCGGATTCTTCAGCCCCGTCGGCGACGCATATAAGAAAGCCGGGCTGGCTTCCGCACAACACCGAATCAATATGACGAGGATCGCTGTACAGGACAGCTCGAAATGGATTGGTGTTGACCCATGGGAGCCGCTACACAAGGAGTATCTCCCAACCGTCAAGGTGCTTGACCACTTCGACCATGAACTCAACGAGGTTATGGGAGGCATTGCGACCGAGGACGGCCAGAAGAAGACCATCCATGTGGCGCTGCTCGCAGGCGCCGACCTCATCCAGACCATGAGCACACCCGGCCTGTGGGCTCGCGAGGATTTGAGCAGGATCCTGGGACACTATGGCGCCTTCATTCTCGAGCGCAGTGGTACCGATATTGGTGTGTTGAATCTAAAGCATAGCGCTCTACAACCACTAACATGTACAGACGACGCGCTCGTACAACTCCAGCAGTGGAGGGAGAACATCCGCGTGATTCCGCAACTCATTCAGAACGACGTTTCCTCCACCAAGATCCGTCTCTTCCGTAAGAGGGGTAAGAGCATCCGCTACTACATCCCGGACAAGGTCGTCGACTACATCTACGAACACGGTCTCTACAGCGACGACGAGAAGAAGGCAGCAGACAAGGGCAAAGAGACAGCATCTGCCGACGCTCCTGGATCTTCGCAGAGCGTTTCCGCTTCTTGAACGACTTCAACTACAGATCTGCGATGATCCCTTCGCGCACTGAGAATCGCATGTACCACCACTTCCGACAGGACTGCCGCGCCGCGTGGTGCGGTCAACGCTAGTCAATAATTACGCTTGGGTGGCAATCTGAATTGGCATTGTAGAGACGGTACTCTCATTACACCGTCACGATCACCTAAATGCCGGCTTATTAGAGAGGCACGGGTGGGCCTCCACAGGCTTGATTGGCTGGAAAGGGTAAAGAGCTGCATAAACCCTTATGACCAACGGCGCATTGTTTTTGTACATTTCTAGCTATGATACCACACACATATTCAACAATGCATGATGATAATTTTTCAACCCTCATTTGCAATGTCCACGGAGCGTGGAGGTGCACGCAGCAACTTGCTAATTATGACAGGGGCAGTGATGTCATTCAGAAGCGAGGCCGCGGCTGCGTGGGCAGATCTTCCCTGCCGTTGCTAATCTTCGGGGCAGGGTCTTCACGGCTTTGTCGAGATATGATATTCCCGGATGACGTTATGGCATTTTTCATGAAATGCCATCCAGCGTGCAACATGCTCCGGTGTCCTAAGGAAAGTCTCGTGCAGTTTGTTTGTGTTCGTGGCATAGCCACAGAGGCATACGCAGCCTTTCTACTACCAAGTACTCCAAGTATTAGCTGAGAGCATCGTCACCGTGATACCCGCCTTGTCAAACATCAACAACATTTACACAAGGCCGATTCCTCTTCCTATGTCCAAGTTTGTTGTGCTTTCCAAGATAGCTATCCAAGCGGCTTGTGGCGCCCAGTGCTCGGCCACGTCAGGCACGCTATCAACACCACGTCTCCACAGCAACGACACCAACATCCCAGCAAGCCCAACCTCGTGCATGTGCCCAGCCGCTGATTATACATATTCGCTACCGATATTCACATGCGCCCGAGAGCTGGCGAAGACCATTGAGCGTGTTATTCTTCCTTTCGTGCTTTTTCAGGCGTTCTATCAAGTGCATGCTAGCCCCTCGTTTCTACACCGCGCTTTCGCTACACTGCTATAACCACCACCACCACCATTCTTTCCAATGAGCGACCGCGAGCGTGACCCGTCGCGCAGACGACCACAAGGCGACCAACGACGACGACGCAGAGAATCTCAGGGCGACGTGGACCCTGAACGACGAAGACGGAGAGAATCCCGAGGTGAACACACGGTTTACGACCAGGAGGGAAGGCGGAGAAAAGGACACAGGGCGACAGACTCCTCAGGCGACCTACTTCCAAAGCCACGAAGACCTTCGAGGCACCAGAGCGACACAGAGCAGGAATCCCCAGCCCCACGTCAAGCACGAGGCTCGCGGCGTAATTCTAGGTCAAAGGGCAGTGGAAGTGGGAGTCGAGGCTCAGCCCCTCTCAGTCTTGATGCGATAGCGAAGCTTGACAAGAGCAATGCGAAGAAGGCTGGAGGTTGGGGAGGCTACGACTATGACGACGAGTACCTGAAGGAAGTCAGAAGGAAAGAAAAGAACTTGGAGAAGGAGAGATTGAAGGAGGAGCGAGAAGAGAAGAGGCGAGAACAAAAAGAGCAGGAGGCTAGACGACGCGCTGCAGAGAGCGATGCCGCTCTGCTCGAAGAGAAGGCTAGAAAACGGCGGGAAGAGAGGCGGAAGGCTGCTGCGCTGAAGCAAAGTCAGACCGATGATGAGCTCGAGAGAACAAGAGGCACATATACAGAAGACGAACGAGAGGAAAGAAGACGAAGGCAAGAGCCCAAATACACACCGTCGGAAGCTGAGGAGCGAAGAGAACGGAGACGGAAAGAGAAGCAATACCGCACAGAGCAGAAGAAGCGTCGCGTTATTAGTGGTCCTTTGGCTGAAGAAGGCCGCATCGACGATGACGACTCCGAGTACCGATACATGATGGAGAAGCGCGGAGGCGCGGGCAGCGGTCCGCCAACAGTATACACAGAGGAGGAGCTGGCACGAAGGAAGAAGAACAAAAAGCGTATAATATTCGCGATAGTCGCCGTTGTGGTACTCCTCGCTATCATCATACCTGTAGCTGTCCTGCATTCGAGCAAAGGAAGCAAGAACGACGAGACAGGCGAAGGGAGCTCATCCGCGGCCACCTCGTCGGGGCCAAACAAAGACAACCTAGCTGGGAAGGACCGAAATAGCGTACCGGAAGCAGATCGAGGCGGCATCCTGGATCCATGGGCATGGTACGACACCCAGGACTTCAACGTTACCTACACCAACGAACTCGTCGGCGGTTTACCCATCATCGGTCTCAACTCCACTTGGGACGATGACGTCCAAGCAAACCCTTCTGTACCGAAGCTCTCAGACTCGTTCGAATATGGCAAGACGCCCATACGTGGCGTAAACGTCGGTGGCTGGCTCAATCTCGAACCCTTCATCACTCCTTCCTACTTCTCTCAGTATGGATCCAAAGACAATGTAGTGGACGAATGGACGTTTCTCAGCAAGCTTGGACCTGCGAAGGCCAAAGACACGTTAGAAAAACACTACTCCACCTTCATCACCAAGCAGACCTTTGCTGAGATCAGGGAGGCTGGCATGGACCATGTTCGCTTCCCCTTCGGCTATTGGATGGTGAGGACTTACGACGACGATGTCTACGTACCTCAGGTATCATGGCGCTACCTTTTGCGTGGTATCGAGTACTGTCGCCAAAACGGACTACGCGTGAACCTTGATCTTCACGGCGCACCAGGTAGTCAGAATGGCTGGAACCACTCCGGCCGTCAAGGCCAGATCAACTGGCTGAATGGCACAGACGGTGACAAGAATGCCCAACGCACACTAGACGTCCATCACCAGCTCTCTGTCTTCTTCGCGCAAGACCGCTACAAGAATGTAGTAACCATGTACGGTCTCGTCAACGAGCCACGCAACGTGGAACTCGACACCGACAAAGTCGTCGCCTGGACGCAAAAGGCCATTGACCAAATTCGCGCCGACGGCATAAAGGGCATCATTATCTTTGGCGATGGCTTCATGGGCCTCGACAATTGGCAGGGTAAGCTCCAAGGCAACGACGACCTCCTCCTCGACGTGCACCAATATGTCATCTTCAACACGGACCAAATCAAGCTCAAGCACCGGGACAAGCTGAACTTTGCCTGCGAAGCATGGACTCAGCAGTCCAAGCGCTCCATGGACAAGAAGACCGGTTTCGGTCCCACCATGTGCGGAGAATGGTCCCAAGCAGACACAGACTGCACGCAGTACATCAACAATGTCAATACCGGTACACGCTGGGAAGGCACTCTGCAAGCCTCGGACAAGTCGGGTGCAGTACTCGCCCCGCAATGTCCGCTCGAATCCTCCCAGTGCTCCTGCGACCAAGCCAACGCCGACCCTAGCAATTACTCTGACGAATACAAAAAGTGGCTGTACCAGTTTGCTATCGGCCAGATGGATGCTTTTGAAGCTGGTTGGGGCTGGTTCTACTGGACGTGGGAGACGGAGAAGAGTACACAGTGGAGTTATAGGCGGGGGCGCGAGGCGGGCATCTTGCCAGATAAAGCGTATGAGAGGGATTGGAAGTGCCCTGGAGGTGGCGTGGAGAGCTTGGATGAGTTTGAGGGGTTGGCGGAGAATTATAGGAGGATGTAGTGGAGGTGGGGACGAATGGGGTGTCGTATATGATCGTTATGTTGTGTTGTCCGGGCTTCGGCCCGTGTTCCTTTTTCGCATACGGTAATGAGGGGTGTTTGGGAGTGAGGGAGGTTATGAAGCATGACTGTCGGTGTTGTTACGAAGTTGAACATAGCATGTGCTCATGCATTTCATGGCGTTGGTTACAGGTTCCATCAATCCAGTACACTTCTTTTCGCGCAAATCTTTATCATCGGTTAGATTTATGTCCCTAGAACAAATGTGACAGCTTTGTGGCAATTGAAATCTGGGTACTTTGAATTGAGATGAATTGGTCTCCTTTGTGGAAGATGATCGCTCAGGATTTAAACGTCGTCAGCTTCTTTTACATATTTCATATCCCGAGGTAGCCGCTGAATCAGCGAGCCTGAATGTCTTGATGAACACGAACGAAGGTCCCCACATCTCATCTTACCGACTAAGATCTGAGCTTTGCACAAGGCCGCCCACAACTGCGCCTCATTACCACCAATCCTCAATGCCTAATTCCCTATTTTTATGTCTTCACAGTTCCTAGTACGCACCGTTCAACTCTCTTTCTAATGTAACAATCTCGACGTTTACCATCGGGGGCTGCTTCCAAGTGTTAGGATTACATACACGGACATCGCCACGTCATGCTCGCACGACACGTTTTTATTGCGATTGGCAGGAGGCATCGCACAACGCAAGTCGCTATTTTAAGGCGGACCGAGCGGAGTCATTGGGGACGTACCACCCTGGGGGAGATCATGGACAGTGAGCGAAGCGGTGTCGAGAAGGAGGCGGCTGTGTGGGTATCGTGAGACAAGGCGAGACATGTTTATATCGTAGGTGTGCTGCGTCTTCTTCATGTTTTGCTATCTCCATTTTCATCGTTCTTTCCTATACAATTGAACGATACCGTAATTCATATTTTCCAACATCTGATCGTGACCTGGAACATCTTACCATGTCGTTACCCATCAAAACTCATCATATTACCCCCCGAAACTCCATCTTCGAGAACGATGCCCAAAAGCGCGGTTTCATCGTCGTCATCATCCTCTCCGTCCTCGCTACTGTCGGCATGTTCTGTCTCATCATCAGTCTGGTCATATGCAAGAACAAACGCGATCGAAAGAACAAAGCAGCAATCGTGAATGCCGAGATGCGTATGCCTGGGTCTAAGAGCAGGTATCGAAAGCTGGAAGACGAGGAAGAAGCAGAAGGTGGAGTTTGGAGCGTAGAGATGGATGATAGACGGCCGACTGCGTACAAAGATGGACAGCAGTACGGACAGGTATGTGGATTATGAGATGGAGGGGGAAGCATGAGATGATGGGACTAACTCGGGTTTTAGGTTGACGTCGATGTGCCACATCCAGAGACTGCGTACAAGTGATCTCGCCCTATCCGGCTCGACATGGGACCATCACAATCAACGCGGTACTTAGCTTGCTAGCAAGCAGGTGTAAAAGCTCTTCACGGCATCGGATCATACACTAGCCATCATTCACCACCCGAACTAAACAATACCTCACCACCACCTCAACTCCGGGCCCTGCGGCTGAATCTCGCTTTTAGATCCCGTACTGGCTAGGCGTTACTACCAGAAAGCTCTACCTTCATATCATCAGACTCTCTCAACTCATGTTTCCATATCAAAAAGAGAAAGAGAGCACCCGGCTCTTGAGGGAAGCATTCGAGGAGAGGATGCGAACCGAACACCCCTTCACCACGGAGCAACTGCAACAATTCGATGACTTGAAGGCGCTGCTAGCAAGAGTACCCAAACTGAGCAAAGCCGACAAGGCAAAGGCCAAGGAAGCGGCCAAAGGAGAAATATGCACAGCGAAGCTCGACAAGCAAAGAGAGATGTCGGAAGAAAGGCGACTTCGCTCTTTACAAAAGCGCCACAAATCACCCAAGGACATTCAAAATCCAGAATCTTTTGCTGTAGAGACTAAAGCTTCGCTCACACCAAATTCGCTCTTCCCACTGCCATCATCGTCGCTGTTATGGCCTCGACCTGCACTCCAAGACCCAGTCTCATCCGCAACATCAGAAGTCACCTCCATCACACTCCCCCACCATGTTTGGGTCATCACCCAAACGTCCTTCGGATCCGGCGGCACTAAGAAAACCTTCGCTCTGTGTACCACACTCCTCGCCACTGAGGCAGTCATGGCCCACCTCACTGCTGAACTTGCGAATCGCATTGTTTTATACATACCAGGAGGCGCGAAGGCCGCGCAAAGGACACGTTTCGATTTTAAGACGTACATTCGTACAGACCATGACTTCGGCTTTCAGGCGTGCCTTGGAGGGGGGAAGAAAGTTGCTATTGATGTTAATGCTAGTTGGAAGGAAGGGGTGCCGTGGCAGGGGAAGGTGGGCGATGGGAAAATTTTCGGGGAGGGGTTTGGGGAGGTTACTATTGAGAAAGTCAGGGCGTTTACGGCGGGGTGAGGGTGGTGATAGTCTAACAGGTGTTTGTGAAAAGCTGTCATAGAAAATATGTAAACAGTAGGGGATACTTACGATAATAAGCTAGGTAAATGACAAAGCCGGAAATTCTCCGACATCATACAAACAAGAAGGCTATAGTACACCAGGAACATTGAGATGGAAGCTAATGCTAACTTTCATCTCTTCGTATAATGTAAGGTGTTTTGACATTGTATTCTAGTCGACACTTAAGCGTCCAGATCTTACATCCACATCTCTTGAGACATACATCAACAAGACTTCTACTGCCCATCCCTCTCGGCAAGCATCTCCTCAATATGCTTGTTCAACCAATACCTTCCCAACACCTCCCTACTCATATCCTTCGCCCCCTTAATTTCTCCCGCACACTCCCCCGTCTTACACAAGCAGTTAAAGGGCTGAGCCATACTCCACTCCGTACTCGGATAGAAAAATGTGAGCTCATCGCCCTCCTTCAGCCCTTCTCCATCCTCCGAAACCCTTACTTCCCAGCGCTGCATGTCGAACACTAGGCTGGGCTTGCAGCTGTGGTTTATGTAGACGAGGTCGCAGTTGAGCTCAATGTGGAGGTCGCGCGAAGCTTGGACAGAGGAGTACGCTACGGTGGCTGGTGTGGGATTTGTGATGCGGGCAAAGACTGCGCCTGGGGGGAGGTTGACAAGAGAAACTGAGCGTGAGGTAAAAGCACCTGGGTTGCGTTCTACGTGGAGGAGACGGGAAAGGTCGGGTTTAACCCAAGCGGGAATTTGCGAGGTAACTGTCGACGAAGGTGTTATGACAGGTTTGGTAGACGATTTTCCGTTCGTGTGGGGTGTTGTAGCGGGAGGAGGGGTCGAGGTTACGGCTGCTGGAGACATGGTGGATGACGAGGACTCGAAGTTTGTAATAATGAATCTATGTGTATGGGATGAGAATTATGAGTTAATTTGCTTCGTCAGTCATGTCAAGAGAGGTTATATGGCCGTTCTTTAGTACTGCTTCCCTGGAAGCCGGACGATGGGCGCAACTACACGCTTCCAGACATACTAGGGTCCACATGAAGACGCCATCTCATCCTTTGTGTGGGGATAACGCGGCTTGTTCCAGTGTCATTCCATGTAGTTCCATATTGCCGACGGGGCTTGGTGTCTCTATTCCAGCCTGCTTTGGCGGACGGAGATCCGAGGTACCTAGGTACATATGTACCCAATTGCACGTGAGGCAAGCTTTGCCGGGTATTCAATGTATAATAGCATTACGCGCGGTAAGTCCAGTTTAAGGCGGCACAGCGAGGATCAAGTGGGCTGGGTTCTGGTATATCTGTCGTCTGTCGTGCATGGTGGGGAGCTGCTAGTGACGTGGGTTGTTGAATAGCTTCCAAGTTCTCCGGCTTTACAAATAGCCTCGGCAGTGCGAAAGCACACTAAGCCTAAAACGTCCCACCTAGGTAGGGACTTCTCTAGCAGTCGAGAACTCTAGAGATGTTCTAAGCTGTGCATGCGGCTCCTTGGTACAGAACTTTGGCATACTTAAGGGTATGAGACTTGTAGCGGAGATTGATGCGTGTTGTTATGGGTGTTCAATCACCTATGTACCTATAGAGGTCTTTGTCATCATCGAACATCATCCTCAACCCAGACCAACCCACCTATTTCACATATGTCTGCTCAACGGGCACAACGCCATTCTCGTCACCCTCGACACCCGCCGCATCTCCACTCTGAAGGCCCATCTTGCTTGTATCATATCCGTTTGCGGTGAGATACTCTCTGAACTTTACGTCCTCCTGGTCGATTGTATCCTGGCCGATATGCGGAAGCAGCAACACCAGACCAGCAGCTACGAAGGCTAGAGTAGATGCGACGAAGAAAGGGTTACGGCCTGCAGCTATTTCATCATCACCTGCAGCCTTCTGTAACGCATCGAGAGCATAGGATCCAGCGAACGCACCAATCTTGCCTACGGCTGCTGCGATACCGTAGTATTGGCCACTGTCTACATGTTAGAAGCGGAGGGATGACAAGGCGATGAAAAGACGTACCGAATTCCAGTTGCACAGGTCTTCGACGCAACCAAACCAATGTTATCGCCAGGGCCAAATTCGCCTAGCGCAAGGAAAATCCCATATACCACGACGAATCCAGCAACGTTCTCGGGTTTGTTCAGCCAAGGATAGCATCCAGCCATGATGAATCCGATAATACCCTGCAGCGTTACGCCGATAAATAGCGTCTTCTTAGGGCCCATGGATGGTAGATCTGCAACAAAAGCACCAGCAAGGCAGCCGGGCATGTAAAAGAAATTGATTAGGATGTTCCACGCCAGACTCTTCCATAACGGCGCCGATTCGCCCAGTAGATTGGCTAAGATAGATGTCGCGTAGATACCGAATGAGTAGGCGCTGAAGTCATAGATGAACCAGATGATACTGACAATGCTGAGCCGGAACCAGTAGTACTTGATGATAAGCAACCATGGTGTCTTCGCTTTGGCCAGAGACTCCCGCTTAAATGCCTCTGGCTCTTGTAGCTTCAATCGGAGGTAGAGTAGCGAGAGAGGCGGGATGACACCGATACCAAGACAGATACGCCAGGCGGCGCGTAGATGGTTCTCCCCTGTAGCAAGGACGACGACAGTAGCGACGATGGCGCTGATAAAAAAGGCCAGGTCAATCTGCACGTTGGTGAAGAGGATGAACCATTTGTTCCGTGTGCCTTGCTTGAGTTCGCCAGTAGATTCTGCACAACCGACACTGCCCGCTGGGTACTCTCCACCGATGCCTACCACAAGTCAGCAAATTCAACGAATGCAAACAAGCACAGTTTTGTGTAGCACATGCCTATTCCGAGAAAGAACCGATATACAACGAGCGCCGTCAATAAACCACTCGGACTTCCACCTGCTCCATAAGACGCCGTTCCCAGGATGGCGAAAAGTATGATGATGATGGTCGAAGTGAATAACGACCATTTTCTTGAAAAATGATCAGATGTGTACCCGAAGAACAACATCCCAACGACTGTGCCAGCAAAAGTTATACTTGCGACGTTTGCTTGAGCAGAGGAGTTCGCATACGAATCTGGGTAAATAGTCTTCAGCATCGTGTTGACCGGTCCAATAATCTACAATTCCTCTATCAGCATTTCTGTTCTCACAGTTCCAGTCTTTACTCGTATATAGCGGTGTTGCTTTGGGATGGGGATCGATGTTGTCGCGTTGGAGAATATCTTGTTGTCGCTTTTTGGGTCGGTTTCTGCGTACATTGTTGAGATAGCCATCGCTGAAAAGTCCAGCTCCGCATGCGATCACAGGCCATAACCTTTCCCATCTTCCTTTCTCTGTTTTTGCGACGCTGCCTCTACGTTCGATGTCGCCTTTCTCATCAGTCGCATTGTATAGGCCAGGCTGGACTTCTGCGGCTGAAGCCATGGTAATGTCGCGTGGGGCTTAACCAGAATGCGCTGCAGGAGGGTATTGCGTCACGATGCTCCAGCGCGGTGATATGGTAAGAATTTCGTAGCAACAGCGACAAGCTTTCGTAGGCGAACCCCTCAAGCTTTAAGGGTTCCAAGGTTCACACCAAAACTTGATCTTACTCGCTACCCATTTGCTACCTTTGTGCCACTCACCGCAAAAGACCCTGTGATCACCTTGCTATGGGCCGTATCGGGCTTGGTGCAGACCCGAGGGGTCAACGAACCATTCACAACATGCGAAAGCTTTTCCAATACCCGAGGCGTAGGATTCGGAGGCCCACGAGCTGTTACTCGATACAGCAGGTACAATCTCCGCCGGGAATACCGATCATAAGAGGTTGGGACTACAAAAAGTTGTCAATGATTGCGCGGCCTCCGCCGCTCGGGTATTATGGCTCTCGGGAATAAAAGACCGCAGCCGCTCTTAGGTGAAGAACAGCGCGATCGGTAGTTATGACTTGAAAGTCTTCGAAACCATCCTGGAAGGCGGGCATCGTGTTCAGCTTCAAGCTTTGCCATGCTTTATCTCAGGCGACCGAAGCACCTGCGCGTCACCTAAAGAGGTTAGTTGTACTGACATTGCCGACGCCACACGGAGCTTGTCCTGCAGCTGCTGGAACGAATTGGCATGTGAGCACGCGATCATCAGCATGGCATTCGATGCTCAAAACAGCAGACCCATACTGCATCCGAACATCGGAATCGATTCCGTAATACTTCACTGTGTAGTTTGTAGGGGTAGGCACAATATTATATGCTGATCCAGCTTTGGGGCTACGAGAACCCGGGTTGTTAACAGCGCAGGCAAGATTTCACACCAACCAGGCCACGCAGGTGGCCTTAACGCGCTCCTCTTAGTCTCGCTCAAGAAGCGATAACAACGAGCAACAGACGCTCGGATGAACTTTCAGATCGAGCTGATAACATCCATGCTCATGCAGGTATAGATTGCGGCAAGCGGAAGGAGACGAAGGAACACGAACAACAGCACCGTGCGCGATTGTGTTGAGATCCAACCCGTACGGCATCTCTACGGGAGAACTGTCGGTGATTGAATCAGCAACTATCGACTCCATCTTGCGACCACATCGGACCGATACCTGTGGTTGCGGGCCGAGGAGCCTTGGAAACGTGTAACAAGACCGAAGGATCCACGTGAGCAAGTTGAACCAATGCCCAATCTATGGTTTTGTTGATTAGATGACTACATTATTACATACTCATCTATGTATGTGCTGCGTACAAGAAAAGACATGTTGCATATTGCATTGCTGCAGGGTATCACGCGAAAGACATTAGCAAAGACATGTACCGATCCTTCCTCCCAAAAACAAGATGTCTTTTACTTGTTGTCAGACGTCTTGATGTGCTCAAACGGAATCGATGTTTTTTGGACCGTGGTCGTCACCTGTCCTCGTGAATTCGCCCTGTCCATCTCCATGAACCAGTCGTCACCCTCGCTCTGCGTCAGGCTTTTTGAACTCCGGTTCTCGTTGCTCGGAATGCGGTATAGGTGTCGTAGTGAATCTTGACTGGGGCGGCCGGCGAGATCCATGCCCATTGTTCGGCCTACAGATGAGGCTGTGCTTGCTTTCCGACCTCCAAAGCCCCCAAGAGTGGGACCAATAGAGGAAGCATTGCTCGATTTATGATAATGGTTTATAGGGGATGACTTTTCCCCTGACTTCCGCGGCATTTGATCAGATATCGTTGTGATGACACCCATCTTACTATCCCCTCCAGATGATGTTATCTTTCTGTCACTAAGGCTAATGCCACCGGCATTGGAGTCGAAGCTATCGTTTCTTGTAACATGTTCAACATGTATTTGCACTTCATTGACGACGAAAATCTTGTTGGATGCCAATGTTGCTATGGCAGGCCAGAAGATGGGTATGGAAGCTGTGATGATGGCGAAGTTGACTTCGAGGACGGCGAAGATGTACACTATGGGGGTATGGAAAGACATGTCAAGAACGGGTTCGGTACCCGCTTTGTTGACAGACATGGCGATCATGCGACCGATAGCCACGATGACCACGCTAGTGTGTTGTCAGTACGGTTCCGTTCCGAAGGCACGCTGTCCACTTACACACAGCCTAAGCTGAATAGACCGACCAAGCCTGCTCGGCTTTTACCCGCAATCCTCAATGTGGTTACGAAAGGAACAGGTAGAAGAAGGACCAAAATATCGAGCAAGCAGTTACTGACAGCATGTCCCAAGAACATGTGAAAAAAGTCTTGAGGGTTCTTGCTGCCCCATCCGATGCATGTGCCATCTAATGTTGGATTCCAGTTTTTGGCGATGGGATTGCAGGGGAAAAGCGCGAGAAAGAAGAAGGTCAGTCCCCACAATGAGCATATGACAATCATGACCCAGGTAATGCATCGTGCAAGGCGATACTGAGCATGAGTCGCTGAAGGCGCGGCTTCGGCAAAGAGACGAAGATACTGTATGAGGATAGAAAGCTTGATTAGTGCTGTACTCGCAGTGTAGGCGGCATTTGTCGAGTATATGTGCTGGAATTGATGTTAGCCTGAGTCCGAATAACTATTTAACTTTGATCTAGTACCTTGAAATACGACGTTAGATGCTCAGCATCAAGTGTCCACAAGTGCAGACCGAGACCATCGACTGGCACTGTGAATGATTAGTCACGCCTCGATTGGTGAGATATCGCTATGCATACTCATGCAAACCATGATGTCTCCGATAAAGCTCGCAGCGGCGGCGAGGACCACGAACAAGTCATCCCAGCCCCAAAGACGGTCCTTGATACGGAACCATAACCGCAAGCTCAATGTAAAGATGGCGACTGACTGATGAAGTCAGTACAAAGATGTCTAGAGTGTATAGTTGCTCGATCATCGCACATACCAGGAAAGCAATTGTGAGGCCAAGGATTGTCTCAGGTTCGTTGACATTTGGTAAGTTGGCATTGTCTGGATGTTGTGCTGGATCTGGTAAAAGAGCAGTGCTGGTGCTCATGATTGCGCACTCGACCAGGAGATATTACGGTAAGGCGGAACGGAGGTTGTATCGGTTAGCGATTTCAGATCGATGAAGGTAGTGTAGCTAATTGCGATAAAACTCCATTACATGGTCCCGCCAATATGGAAAGAATGAGGTTGGACCTGCAAGAGACAGTGTTACAATCGACCCGAATCGTGGCCGGGAACGAGGCTGCATCAGACGAGGAGGTGTAGCGGTCTAATACGTTGAACGGTGGGTCTCTCGTGCCGAACGTTCAAGTCATGACATGCGTGCGTTACCCTCCCTACGACACATGGTGTAACCCCTGCTGTCCCGCATGGAGGATCAAAAATGGGGTCGTGCAACTAGCGGCAGGTAAGCCTGTACATGTCCGCATCCCTGCTGTGATAGGTGTGATGATTGCTGCGTAAGGGTTACTTCCCCTCGGTCGTCATGAGACACTGGTACTTGCGTCCCTGACGACGCCTCTTTTTCTAATTGACAGTGTTAGACTAAGAGAGTAACCTATCGTTTACACACTTGACTTCAAACTACAACGCGGGGGCCGCATGGATCCACATCAAAGGGGGCGCGAGCAAGTCATGAAGGTTGTTCGATCGATGGTCGTTCAGCTACATTCTAGCTGAACAGAATGAGGAACTGGTCGACGAGAAAAACATGGTGTGGTGGCAAACGGGCACTCTGCCGACAGTCGAGTTTGATTGGTACCCCGCAAAACAGCCTTGCATCGCGGATGGCTGAAACAAGATAGCCTAGAACTCTGTTGCTTAGGTTTGCTTTAGGTGCTCAATATGCACTCCATTTCTTGATTTTTCTTCTTCTAGCCTTGCTCCAATCCCGCGAAAGGTGCGCCGCAATGCCGCTTGTTCCTGAAGGAAAGAAAGCCGGCTCGATTCTGGGCAGCCAATAAAGCGGATGATGTATACAGGAGACTCGAGTATATCTTACACAGGGGATCCCTTTGAAGATCCAATCCTTTAAGAAGGAAGCTCCCGTTGGTGGCGTCGCTCATAAGAATGGGAACATGGGAAGGAGCATGATGTGGAATGAATGGTCGTTGGAACACTGACGGTCCGCAAGGGTAGATGACTCGGTTTCACTCCTCTCCGGGGCCCACCACTCGAAGCGAGCAACTATAGCCAGTACCCCTGTTTGCAACGTCTCATGGCTACGATGACCACAGCGGCGATGGTGATCTCGGCCGCGCCGTATGGCTAACGAATAGTTCGCATGGCATTTGTAAGTCGTTAACCAGTGCCAATCTCGACTTAGTTGGACGCGAACTACAGTTTCGCAAAGGTTATCGGGGACAACTAGCCGTCGAACGCGCGCGGGTTCGACGGGGCTTTGCCGGGCATGACGCGACGACGGTTCTGTAGCGGCGCAGCGATAGTCAAGGTAGCATCCCGTTCTGTCCCATTTCTTTTTTGACCTCCTATCGGGAATGGCTATTTCAGCCTGGAGCCCTCGGGGTTGCAAACCATTGAGGACTACGCCTCGGGGACATATCGGCAAGGGAAGCCTGCAAGCGCAACCCCACTGGATTTGGTGGAGGCCGCCGGGCCTCTTCCAGCGACTCATGCTTCTAGGAATCTTACGACTCCTCAATACGGTGTACGTGTTGCTATAAGGGAGTCGTGGTAAGTGCGTGCTTGCTGCACAATGGGTCAGACATCATAAGAAGAGCCAACGCCGCAGCAATTACCAGTCACCGTGCCTTCTTGTCGCCCCAATTTTGCTGGCTCGTATCAACGCAACGCTGCTCACATAACCCACCCGGCAGTCTGTATCCATGATGAGGTCAGATGGCGAGCGATGAAACGAAAGGGTGTAGGGGGAGCGTTGACGAAGATGCATGGGTCATGAATGACCGTCAAGGGTCTGCAAAAAGCATCCGAGATCAACAGGGCAGTTGCCCAACGTCGTCGCGTAGCAACACACCCTTCGGCTCCGACTAC